AGGAAGAGGAGGAAGAGGTAGTGGTGGTGGCCGAGCTGCCCATTGTTGGGGAGGCCATGGTGGAGTGAGGGTTTCCTTGGTGAAGAAGGCTGTGGGAACCTGAGGTTTGACCCAGGGGAGGAGGTGAGTGAGTCTGGGATGATAGCGAGGGGTGCGGGAAGTCTGGGGAGAGGGAAGAGTGGGTGTTGGGGAGGGAGGTGGTGAAGGGGGCGATGTGGCTGGGCCAGTGGGGAGGAGGCGAGCTCTCGCTGGGCAACGAGGGCGCGTGGAGCCCACCAGGGGATGGGCGAGGGGCCAAAGGCGGCTGGCAGTCCTGGTGAGAGGTGGGGGATGAGGAGGAGGACCCTGATGAGGTACCTTCTGAGCCAAGAGATGTTGATGGTGACTTCATGCCCAGGTGATCATCTGAGGATTGACAGAAAAATATATATTTTAAACTTTTAATTCCATTTTGTTTGTTTCTTTAAAGGCATTAGTGCGTCTCCAATATCAGACCAAATATTAAGGTATGTCAATTAATTAAATCGTCCTGGTCCAGTTACAGTCTGTTTATTTAATTGATTCTACATAATGTTTACAAGTTTAGTTTTCAAATGTGTGTGCATACCAAAAGATCAGGTTACGACTTCAAAAGAAATGCCTGCTAGGAAATGGCCTTGAACAAGCAAATAAACAAGTGGAAGAAACTCTGAAGTCTATGAGTCTTTGTAATGTCTTGTCTCAATCTGTGCTCTCCGGAGCAAAACTCCTCAAACATCTTGCACACACAAAAAAGCTTACAGACCACCTTGCTGCTATGGCAACACATTTTACAGGACAATGGGCATCACCAAGACAACCCATAACCCCTCTTAACCCACCCCCTCCCTACAGCAGTTACGTCTTTCATCTCCCTATTCACCCTTCCCCCCTTACGTCACAGTCGAGGTCAAGGGTCAGGCCAAGCTAAGGGTTCTGGGCACTGTCCAGACACTCTGATTGGTCAACTAATCTGACCTGTGCTGCTCGGGGGTCAAATTCTTTCAGAATCTTGAGCACAGAGTGAGAAAGAGTAAAAGAAAAAGAAGGGGGAGGGTAACAACAATGGAGAGACAAACTAACTATTCCCTCCTGGAGTGATATAGTGATGGAATGAAAGACTGTACCTAAGTGAAATTCCTTCTCTGTGACTTCTAAACAAACCTCAACCTGCGGGACACAAAAATAACTACCAGATAAACTTTCTTTGGAGGAAGTTTACCTGCAGAGAGTCTAAAGTGCATGCAGTGGAAGATATTACCCATTGTAAAACAGAACAAGTGCGAAAGCAATCTCTCTTTCACCCCTGAATCTATTTTTTTCTCATCCATCTGAGCCCCCCCCCCCAACTGTGTAGGAGTATACAGTCAATAGGGTTGGGGGGCGAGAAAGAGGGATAAAGAAAGGGGAGGGAAGTATTGAGAAGGTGGAAAATGTGGGAAGAGGGGTGCATAAGAGAGAAAGGCATGGACGAAGAGAATAGATGGGTGGAAGATTAATCTTTACCAAAAACACTGGCTTCCCTTCCCCCCACCCAAGCACTTTATTGTTAACAAATAAGAGGGTGCTCTATACTAATCAAAGACCTCCAGCAGTCAGCGCTGAGCAGCCTGTTGGTTTCCTAGAGGTCCAACAGCAAATGAAAATGGCCACAGATGTATGTTAGTTAATCCTACTCTATTCATTTCACAGGGACACGTTTATTGTGTGCCTAAGGCCCCCATTTAGTGGGGCCCATTACAGTGAACTGCTGAACAGGAGGGGTTTCTTTAGTTGACAAACTTAGATCTTCAACTTTTTGTTTTTTTCAATCAGGTGCGTTTGTTGGAATGTGTCCATGCATAAATGAACGTGTGAAAATCACGTCGATCAACGACAAAAGCGCCCAGTAGCCCAAACAGCGCACACAATTTATGTGCGTCGAAACACAAACTTTTGCTTTGGTTAAGTTTTCCGTTTTGTTGTAGCACTTGAGTTAATTCCGCATGCATTGTTGAGCACCATTTGTTTGCAAGCTTGTTGCACTCTTTCATGAAATTCAAGACAAAAACGCATGCACACTCGTAAAGATGTGTACTCACCGTGAGATAGCAGCCTTGGGCCCCCCGGATCCGAGTTAACTAGATGCTGGGGTCGCTTCTGCTTCCGGCGTGACATGATTCACTGCGACTCAGAGGGAGAGGGGGGCATCAGTTTGTTGAATGGCAGTAGGCACGTTTTTGCGCACTTGGAAGCGCTCCTGAAACCATCCAAGCATTTAAAGTTCAAGAGTTGCGCACATCCCGAAAGCCCCGGAATAAAAAAGGAAATGTAAGCTTACTTAAAAGTGATAAAAGAACGTATGCTTTTTGGAAAAATCAAAAAAAAAAGTAGCAATAGGTATTTGGAAATCCGCAGGTCTGCACCGTGCCATATGAAGCTGCGGTGAGTGCGTGTGTGTGGCTGTTTCCTAAAGTCTCTTCTCCCCCAAAAAACTTGTCCAATTTGCGCCCCTCCTCTCCCACTGCTGCCCCGCTGCATGCACATACAGAGAACACACACACACACGCACACGCACACGCCATACACACTCACAAACACACACAGAACCACTCCTTGTTCTTCAATGATATTTGCATTTCAATGGCGTGTAACACACAGCCTCCCTGCTTCTCTCTTTCTCATTCTCCCCAGCTTTATTTTTCTTTACACACTCACGCAGCAGCTATAAACTTTCAATAAAACATGACAATTAGGTGTCAAAGCCGTTGGATGGCTTGAAAACAAATGTAAATTGGCGTTAGAATGATCTATTTGACTATAAGATAAATGTTTAAATAATGCCAGGAAGAAAATAAATCAGTGTTGGTCTAATTAAGATGCAATAACATGTCTAAAGAAGTAACAGGTGACATTTCCATCAGGAAACATCTGTTTAGGTGTACTGCAGACACTTTAATAATTTCAGCAAGGTGGATAAATAGTAAAATAAA